TCAAGAAGATGTGTTCGCAACAGGCTTCTAGCAAGCTTGTCGACAAGTTGTAACAATGCTGTTATTTTATCAAGTTGCTACAAGGTTGTCTCTCACAACTTGTTGACAAATTGTTGAATTGCAGGACGATAACAAGTTGTTGGAACAACTTGTAAAAAGTCTGTTGAGCTCAACAACCTTGTAGCAAGTTGTCAACAAGCCTTTGACAACTTGTCAACAAGCTGGGAACAGGCAGTGCGAACACATCCTGTTGATAAGTTGTTGAAACAGCATTGCTACAAGTCTGCTGCAGGTTTGTTACAACTTGTGCATTCCTAAGTGTGTACCCCAATATGAAACCCGCATAATGAACGCAACGCTTTGCTTTGCGTTCTTTAAACAAATGATATTTTCGTTTTCAAAGCGTTATGGCTGGCATGGTGAAGACAAGCTTCTACAAAAGACGTTTGATGTGGCACAACACGACTATCCATGGCTGGCTGAACATCGAGGAAAGGCTGTAACTGAGCTTGAGTTTCTTCATGGACACCTCAGAAACCCTGGACGGATACCTGCGTGTTTTTATTTCAGAGATAAGGTCTGTGATAAATGAGGTTTTGTTCCGTAACAATTAGACTTCGCATTTTTACACTCGGTCTTCTTAAACACTAAATAGTGCATGCAAATACCCAATTTATTCTGTATTGTATCCTGAAACAACAAGCCATGCTATCTTGGTTTTGTTTCCAGTACCAGGAAAGGTTCTCTGTCAAGACGGACTACAAACTACCAATTACTTTAGTTAACTTCCGAGCTATTTCCTGAACCAGTAAAGTTACGGTGAATAGAAACTAACTATAGTAATGACAGTTACAAAGTTGCACTCATGTTGAAAGGAACATTTTCGAAACTCCTCTCTATATAAGCTTTGTTTTATTCGGGATAAACTGATCAACGATATTTATCCCAACATTTTATCCACTATACCCAGGCTTATGATGACAAGAGGTTAGCTCAGTACGAAGCAGAAGGTAACGAAAGAGAAATGAGAAAATACAGATCAATCACTGATGGTCCTCACGCTGCAGAACTGTTGGATGACTTGAAGAAAAGAGTTTATGACACTCGAGACAAAGTAAATATCTTCTTTATAACGTCGTTACCCAATTACGAAAGTTGAGAAGCGAGAGTTTGCATGAGAGTTTTCTCAACTCTCATGCCCCGGTCAAACGAGAACAAGAGTTGCATGAGAGTTGATGAGAGTTGAGAAGCGAGAGTTTGTATGAGAGTTTTCTCAACTCTCAGGTCCTGGTCAAACTACGAGAACAAGAGTTGCATGAGAGTTGTTGAGAAGCGAGAGTTTGCATGAGAGTTTTATCAACTCTCATGCTCCGGTCAAACGAGAACAAGAGTTGCATGAGTTCGTCCGGCAAAGCTGACGAAGTCCGGCGGGTCCAACCAGCAAAAACTCTTCATCACCTCTCATCAAAATTTGAACCAGTTAAAAGTGATGGGAGTTGATGAGAGAGTTGGAATTCGTCGAACGAAGTGACTTTAATCGTTTGTAGGTTATAATTACATCCTTCGACCTTCTATTTCAGTGAATATTGTTCGACCCTACTGCAACCGGATTCGCATCGAACGAGTCGAGCGACATCAACTAAGACGCTTTTCGGCTTCTTACAACTTTTCATATTTGAAGTTTTGGACTAATATTATGATATTATTATTATGATAATTTTGAGTGCTAAACTCTCCTCGAAACTGTAAAATTTGATGTCGCTCCGATATGTGAATCCAATATCGTGTCACTGGGGTCTCAGATAATTTCAGTATTCCTAGTTACCTTCGTTTTACTCTGTGCTCCAGAAAACCAGAACAACAGAAATTAGCCATGCGGGTTATTCAAAGTTATGAATGTGAAATTCGAACTGAATGAAATATTTTATCAGTTCCAATTTAGGCATAACATTTTATTTTCTACTATCTAGTGTATTGACGTATGCATGTCTTACAAGACACCACAGGAGGTAATCATATTTTATATCTTTAGAAAGATGTCATCTTATGTCACCCAGATTTGTTATTTTCTTTTTTCGTTTTCCAGGCTGCCAAAATGATGTTTAACGCGGTTAACGAGCAGATCAAAAAGATGCTTGCGTCTAATGTTGATCTCAGTCCAAGAGAAATGGAAAAGGCCAAACACGATTCATATTTTGTTAAACAATATTCCATTGGTAAGAAAGGGAACTGGATGGTATACATAATGAATGATGGTATCTACTTTGGGATTTCTCGTTTCTTCTGACATTTGACTCTGGGCGCGCGCTTGTCTTTTACATTACATTTTGTGACTTATTGTGAATCCAGGATTAATAAGCAAAAAGAAGAAAACATGAAAGCGACGACGCGGAAAGGCTTAAACAGCCTCCCCCAATTGCCTGAAAGATGTATAATCTAACCATAATCTAACCAAAAATTCATAGGTGGCAAATATATCGGTGGTGATGGTCACTTAGAAAAAATTGACCAACTCATTTCGTC